ATATATATATATATATATATATATATATATATATATAGTGATTGAGTGTCATCCAAAAATTCAGCGCGGAACCTTGCTACATACTGGTTCAATGTTTGGTCAAATAAATGCCTGATTCTTCAGAGGCATCAGATTCTCAATATTGTCAGTTTTTTCACTGCACTGAGGATGATACTTTTGACAGACTTCAGTGTGCAGTGTGAGCAAACCGACATGAACGTGCACCGATGATATCCTATCAATTGGTGACGGAACTCTGGCGGGCTAAGAGCCGAGTTCGGCAAACAGACCACACAGCCATGTGATCATCCACCAGTGATATGCTTGCTTCTCACCACGGCTGCTCCACTGTGGTAGGACAGTTACAGAACTGATCTCTTACAGTTGGCCCCTTCATCTGGTTTCTGTGTTGAACGCTGGTATGATTAGGGCCCCTTACGTTATCCCGACAATCAACTTGGAGCATGGTATCACTAAACTTCTTATCTGTGCCGTATTGTTTTTTCAGTTCAATCTTGGATGACTACTATCTGCTCACAAGACTGAATTCACTTTGTATGTGCTTCCACTCTGAGCTGGGATGTCAGTCGAAGAGTCCCTTTATTTATTTAGGAAGACAAAAAATTCAGTTGGTCATTGGAAAAATTTTGTTCCACGAAATTTATAATAAGTGTGTTAATGAATAGCTGGCAGATCTACCGACTACAGTAAAGGCTGCTCATAGACTGCATCCATCCCTTGGTAATAGACGTGTTAATTTCATCTAAAACTTAAATTTTCGGATGTTTTTTCAAAACATAGACGCATTTTGTGTCAAAGTAACAAGCCAAATTGTTGTTTCCAAAAATGCAACTAAACGAAATGGAATTCAAAAAAAGATCATTTATTATCACAAACATGTTTTGCAAAACTGAACAACTTAGACGCTACCGTGGGATTCCAGCGCTTCCTGAGGTCGAGGAAACCTACCATTACTCAGTCATCTAGCGTTCCGGTAAGGTGTGCTCCATTTTTGTGTTTTTATTGATTCCATTTGAATGTATTTCTGCGGTTGGAATTAAACTGCATGTGAAATTAGGTACTACACGCCCTACTCTTTTTAGATAGGGATATTATCAAGAAAAACTATTCGGTTTCACGCGCTTCCTGACGCTCAATGAAATGCCATAACTGCGCGTATCATATTAGGATAAGCTAGAATATGAGGCGAGAGAAGTAAATAGATAGAAAATGGACACCCAGTTGCAACGCTGTTTCGGTGGCAACCTTCCATACACCCCAAAGAAAACACGAGGGATGAGATACGGTCAGGCTGCTTAAGTCTAGAGAGAGGCAATCGAAAAGCAGTGGTTGGATTAGAACTACAGGCATTTAGATTGATAGTTCCGACCCTAATTGTCGAGCTGTCTGGGTCTCCTAAAGGAAAAAACAAACACCAAAACCATGCACTGTATTTTATTATTCATTGTTTACTCTTCAACTCCATCATGATGAATATTATTGATGCCCATTTATTCTCTAGTGTCGATATTCTGTAACTTGTTTGTTGAAAGGCCCACCACCGGCAAAAAAATCAAAATTTTCTTCTGTATGTACACGCACTCCATTACATCACCCAAATAGTTTGACGGGTTTGCATGCATAGTACATGGTGTATCCAGCTTGGCACATTTTTCACCGTAGGTGGGTTACATGCAAAGAAATTGTATTGTTGTGAAATACTTTTTGATTGACACGGTGCTTTCCTTGGTAAGCATCAAGCACTTTTTTAAAACTTCTTTATTTCTTTCGCAGTTTTCTCATGTAGCGCCAAAGTATTCACATGCCTTAACTAGTCAAAATGCTGTCTGTCATGCTGCCCGTGTGTCAAGAAACGTCATGGTTATGTCCCTTCGGTTAAAACCGTTATCTCTGTTTATTCATTGGTGAAAAGAGAGGGTACACATTTGGTGTGAGAAGACCGAATGTCATCTAATAGAATTGCAATGGACACTCACCTGGTGCATGTGCTTGGCACTCAAGGAGTGCATTAATACCAGCAGAAATATATATCGTTGATTACTTTTTATTGTTTGTTCGAAAATATATTGCATTGTTGGCAGACGAACAATTTACATTATGTGACATAGACTGTACATTTAAGTGGGACAGAAACCGTATCAAAAACTGATGCTGAGCCTCAAGAATCGGCAAAATTTGGTTCTTTTTTGTACAGACCGTAGGCTAACAGTTTATCGTTTACTTATCAGTTTCCTCTTCATCATATTTAGCCATTTCCCGCCACCAATCCGTGCATTTCCTCGCAGAAATGAACCCTTCATCACTTTGTAACCTCATCTTGTGTGAGTACTTGTTACGAATCAGCCAGGTTGACAAAATATTGCGTCCAGCCAAATAAGTCCCATCACCCTTCGGTGGGATGGTAGCATTTTGACCAGCAAGTTTTGGATACTATCAGAAAACGAATGTGATACTTCAGCAAGACAGCGTAGAAGCTCAAACTATGCAGTCATGCAGTTGGTCGTTTATGAACAAGTGAATGCAGTAAACCGCGTACCCTCGTACATCCTTTAACAAAAGTACAAATCCATAGGACATCAAATCAGGTTTGTTAATGTGAGTGAACAGAGCTGTTTGGTAGTGGTTCCAGATGGTTCCGGTTTATATGGAGTAGCATTCAAGTAAACAAAAATCGTCCAGCTGTGATGCCCTATCAGGGCCTAGCCGTCATAAAATCCAGTGGAAATACGACGATCGAGATACAATCAGGTTTCTCAGACCCCGACAGAAGTAATCGGGACACCTCGTTTGGGTTCTGGCGACGGACCCTGCGGTCGGTTTGTTCGCACCTTAACCACTGAGTGATCTCGAGCTATTGAGCCGTTCCTACCTGAACCTGTAGCAAGCTAAATTTGAAAGACGGTAACGAAACTCTAATGACGGAAGAAGAATTACCGGATGCATGTCACTGCTACTTTTTCACGTGGCCATAAAGATTCATCCCTTCTTCCAAGCCGTACTCTAACCTTCGCGCGCTTCCCTATTCTTATGTTTTACAGCCAACCTATGAATGGCTCAACTGGCCAAAGGCGCTTTGGTAGCCCGTTTTGACTACTATGCTTCAGAGAGTCATGAATTAACTGTGCTTGAGGGAGATCAGCTCACCCTGTTGGATGACTCATCACCTTGGTGGAAAGTGAAGAATGCCAATGGTGATGTGGGCTATGTGCCCAGCAATTATGTTAGACCTGTAAGACAGGTATGCCACTCCCGATGGGCTGCGTGTTATTTAATCTATACTCCTAGAATCTCTTTAAAAATTTGAAAAATAGTCTTGGACGTCGGAAAGGTACTAGCGTGACCAAAACCTCACAGCTGTATTCTAATTGCTCTGGACAACCGTTACCCGATAAAGGGATCAAAACTGAAGCCGGTTCTCCAGGTGGTCATGAAAACGGCACATTAGGAAGAGCGGTATTTCCATTAACGGGTCCTAACCGGTCTACCTTGGAGCATTCGAATAAAGCTCTTCGGGCTCTCCACTGTGAAGAATCCCACATATATCACACGACAATACCCACAAACAGACCAGTAGTGAACCTTAGTCGCAACTTCAGAGGAGAACCTGCACAGGTGAGTTACCCACGGAGGATGCTTTTTAGTAATTTGATAGTCACTAGCGTAGGATTTGAATCGTGCGCACTATTTGCAAAATATGTCGTCTGTTGGTCTGTTGACTTGTGGGGATTCATGATGGAGCCTTTGGAAAAAAACACCTAATTTTTCCACTGAACCTGTCACAAACCAAAAGGTATGGTTAAAAAATGATCGTCCTTAGGAGGTACCAGAGTTAGTCTAGTTTTCAACTTTCGGCTAGTGTCTGCTTACTTGTCCTGCCGCTCAAAAGCATTCCTTCATTTTCGGTCATATAGTACTAAAATAATAATGCATTTTGTAAAATTCAACATCTTGTAGAACCAGGTGTGACGACCGTGGTCCTTAAACCTGTGACCTTGAGCCAATGAGCCGGAGATTTTCCAAACGCAGAGATCATCCAAGAAGAATTTGAGTTTGAGAAGGACAACGCTAAAGGATACACACATTTAACATATGGGTCTCACCAACTGGGCTTTACAGCGGAGCCAGCTATGGATTTCATCATATATAAACTCATTTCGTACCGCTACTTGAGACATAAAGTAAAATGAGTTTTGTTATGGACAATGTGGGTGGCTCCATTTCGCCCCACATCGAATTGGTTTAGTGTACCTGCGTAATATCACAAGAAACGGAGTATCGTTGTGTACCAAGGTACCAAGTTACCTATTAATTTGGGTTGTAAAGACTGATTTAAGCAAGTGTCGGAGCCACATAGGTACGCTTCGAAATCTAGTGACAAGATTAAAACGTACATGACCTGGTATCAGTTCAAAATTTCGAGCAAATATATTGCCTTCTACCAAATGCAGATCAGCCTTCGACGGCTCACATATATATTTTAGTGAACACTGTAGTTGTTGAGTCTGCTTCTGACTAGCCAACCCATTCCGACGGATGGCGGCACATCGTGTAAGCTATGAGGCGAACTGAAGTGAACGAAGAAGTGTGAGACAAAACAGCAGAGCTTAGTGGTCAGCCGTTCAAATGAACGGAGTATAAATTTACGCACACAACAAACGATGCGCAATCAGTAGCGGTCTAGCAAGAAACTTCCACAAGTCTGACGCTATCGGTTGACGCCACAGTCACGTTCCGATTTTTTTCTCCAACACCACTATGACTATCTGACAAGACGCAACTCACTTCGAAGGATAACGAATCAACAGAGCAGAATAACAGAGCAATACACGGTGTGAAATCATGCGCGAAAAAAGAACGCATTCATTCAATGTGAAGTTGGCGATTACTTTTTCTACCATTCTTTTGGTGCATTGTATAACAAGCGTTATTTCCAATACGAACCCGCTTACTTCCATTTGCGTTCAAGTCGTGTGAAATTCGTGTTATTTCCATGTCGATAAGTATGGGATGAACACTATTTAGCAAGCACACCTACAATTTAAGCCACTGAAGCATTAGGCGATTCCAAGAGTTAATCTTGGCACTCTTCGGAACAATTACCGTCCTGCAGTCATTAGCTCTGGGAAACTTACTTGCCAGTTTTTTTCAAAGGGATTATTTTTCTCCATTTTTCGTAAGCTACTGTTTCAAATGACCAACAAGTAGTAGTAAAGAGAGACGTGCAAAATTCGCAGCCCTTTTTCTGTCTCTAATTATTCCCCAGCTTCTCCACCAGCTTTAACTAGAAGGGCTTCCTGAGTTATTCTTTTTGTTAACAAGTGTTAACCAAACAAGGTAGGCACAACCCTCATTCTTGTTCGTCCTAGGTGAGCGAGTGGACAACACTTTCAGCGATTAACATACCCTGTCCTATTTTGTCAAACGATCATAACAAACCACAAAACTCGGTAACTGCTGAAAGAGAGGTTAGTCTCTTTTTTGAGAATGAAAGAAGGCGTCGTGGCAGCGTTCAGCCACTACTGGAAATCGTACTTGCGTTTGTGTTAGTACCAGATTATCCTCTCACGCATATACGATTGCCCTGACGAATGAATCAACCTTAGAGATTCAGTTGTTCATTTTATCATTGAATCTTAGGTAAGCTGACCAAGTGATACTTTTGGAGCTCAAACTAGCGACTTCCGAAGAGCTGTTTTCATGCGAATTAGGTTATCTAAAGTAGAAATACCTGAGTTATACACATTGTGTATATCTTTTGCAAATTATTCAATCAAAATGAAGCGAAAGAAATTGTGGATCGTTGTTTTCATTCGTAATGTAGTTAAGTGAAGTTTAGATTTTTTTATTTTATTTCTTGGCTAAAGCATAAATATCATCACCGTTATCATCGGCAGCTCGGTGGATCACAATGTTTAATAACATGACGGTTGTGCCCGCTGTTCGACCAGATTGTTTGGTTTCTGTAGCATTTGAGAGCTTCTCTCTCCAGTTCGAATCGCACGCGTGCTCACACAACGTCCCTGTTTTTATCCCTCTCTAGGACGGAAAGCGTACAATGACATAGTAACTTGTTTGCTTGCTATTCCGATACAAACGTCATGCTATCACTGAACCTGACCGGAAATAGGGAGAAGTGGAGAACTGCTTGCTCCGTTTACTGTGTAGAACATCTCGATTGGTGATGAAACGTTTGCAAGCAAATTAGGCAGCTTAGCAAGCAAAACCATCGACGATCTACGCTTACTGAGCTACCAACATTTCCTCCATAAAAATGTAGAATATTTACTTAGTGGATGCCTGGATACCGAACTAAAGATAGGGAGAGCGAGTTAGATGGATAGGCCGTCACAATATGAAAACTGATTCAATAGCAAAAGTGTTCCCAGTTCAGACCAGCTGATTCGGCTTTGGAGTGAAAAGTATATAAACTTCCGATGCACTATACTTTCACTGGAGAGCGAAATCTCTATAAAACTGAATGCTCCATATATTTTCTTTCTACTTATTAATCCCTTATAGTACCGGTGCCTGTGTTCTTTTGATATCAGTTAGCGCACGTGAGAATGGCCAGGTAAACTGTTCTAGATTATAGTCTGTACTGATTCGTAGGAAATTCATAATCCGCCATGCCCACCAACTCAGCCCACCATACCTCGAGATGGTCAGAAAGCAGGAGGCTGCTGACACAAGAATCCGAATACGACTGACGAGTGAAGCCATGAACACAGTCGGGACTTACCTAAATAAACAAATGAATCGGCAAAGTCAGTATATTGCTGCTTGTGTGTTATGATAATCCACATGAAGTAACGTATGACTAGGGATGCAAACACTCGCGGGACACGTGAAATCGCTCTATTGAGAGCTCTGACGACAAAGAATAACACAAACCACTTATTTACATTGAGCAATGGGATTGACTATCTAGGCCTTTGTGCACTTTAGTCGCCGGAACAAACACTTATTGTAAATTCATCCTCGTATTGTTCCATTTTCCATCTGTCTCCATAGCCAGGTGCCGGATCAAGGTCTCCGCAGTTCAATCAGAAGCGCACAACACTAGTCCCGACTTCGGATGAGACTCTCATTTCCCCAGTTGCTGCAGAATTACTTTACCGAGTGATTGCTTCCTACCAGCCACAACGTTCTGATGAGCTCCATATTAACGCCGGTGACAGGATCAGAGTATTGGAAAAGAGTGCAGATGGTTGGTGGTTTGGTGAAATTATGGTCGGGGACCAAGTTCGTTCCAGTGGCTGGTTTCCATCCAACTACGTGGTTGTTGATGTCAAAAACAAGTGAGAATTAAAACAATATTTGCCATTTCGTTTCTGGTCAGAGTAGATCTTTTCTATCTTCTATTTTAAATGGACCAAACCTCGCATATTCTGCAACTCTCTTGATAATAGAGCAGCACAAAATCGACTTCCGCCTCATAAGTTAACTCGGGCAGAATGATTGTTTTCCCTACACATGTTTCCTGTGATTTCTATGAACTTTTACACCTAGTGTATTCGACTAACATCTAGACTAGAATTCATCAAACTCATGTCAATAACATCCTCTATAATTAGTGAAAATGGAATGTTGGCTAACGAAGATGTGGAAAACTTGATCAAGGAGGATTATGTATTTCGTTGACAGTTAAATCACTGCACATTTCAAGACTATCCCTGTAACAGCTGATGCATTTTTGTGTTCACTTCAAATGTCCCCCTGACTGACCGTCTCAACTGCGCGTCAACCTTTACGATTCTGTCCTGTTAACCAGCCTTACCAAAATGAGGTAGTATTAAAAAGCGCCGCTTTTTGAACACCACTGATTTGTTTGTGTATGGTCCACATCTTATGTCAGTGGACAGTAGAGATCGGTAGCAACGTACAAGACTTTTATTCAGGGAACTAAAGCTGTGGTCTAAACACAGGTCCAGGGTGTCAGTTGGACTACCCGTGCATTCACAGAAACACTGGTGGCAACGATCTACATCATCCGTTTTCTCATACATTGTATTTTGCCACTCAAGGGCGATACGTCTTTAGGCTGATTCGTCAACAGAATGACAGTTTTCCAATATACTGTATTAAAAATAGACATTAGATTCAATCCAATAAACCATGTATATTTTTAGAACTTGCCCGTTCGCAAAGGACAGCATATCAGTTATTGGTGGTCGTTGGCTTGTTCGCTGAGCTGGGCAATTTGATTGCAAACGTTTCATCACCAATCGAGGTGGCATCATCAGTGCGTTATTGTGGAGCGTAGTAGTGCGTAGCGGTGGGTTGGTTGGTGGCACAATCAATTATTTGCAATCAAATTGCCCAGCTCAGCGAACAAGCCAACGACCACCATCTACGCTACCTGAGCTATCAATATTTTCCTCTATAGAAATATCAATTATTTTAAAGCAGAATTAACAAACCTTTACACTGACATGACTCGCTGAATGTTTTGTCAAAGATAAATGGTTTTTATAACTGGAGAACTTAAAAGGTTTCAGTTGTCGTACTCGCAGGGAGTTCATGGTTTGTTTCTTCGCTGAAGTTGCACCATATCAGTATTTTCAACTTTTTTCATCAGCATACTCAAAACCGACTGGAGTGAATCACTGTAAACGGAGCAGCTTGCTCGGACCAAATTTAATCACATCTTGTCAGAGTTTCATAGGAATTTCGCTAGAGGAATCCCACGTGAACACGGTTTCCATGAGACTCCTGCTTCTCACTCAATACAAAACGGAATGGCGCACATTTATTGATCACCAAGATGGAGGCTGCATTCTTTTTCGGTCACACAAGAATTTGACTGAAGATGTTCAGTTGACAACGTTCGTAAGCGTGAGTTTGAACATACTTGCCAACAGACCGACGAACTTGCACGGTTAAAGATTCCAAACTTTCATCCCATACTAGACCTACTGGACAACGCCTGTCTTAACTGACACAGCTTTCACCTGACGGTGCTTTTATCATGCCGTAGTGACATGAACGATGTGCCAGACATGTTCAAGCATAGTCTCCGTGGTCCATGCTGTTTTTACTGCAGAGCTCAGGTGAAGTGGTCTTAGACGGTCAAACAGTGTGGCTGGATACAATGCGATGCTCACTCAGCTTCCTCATCATCGGCTGCTATGGTATTTCACCGTATAGTGTGAAATCACGCAAGAGAGATGATGGACCAGATTTTTGCACATAGAACCCAGTAATTGTGATATTTTGGTTAAGGGAATGTTGCTTGAAAGATCGTGTGACGTCGCATACGGCTCACCTTCAAAGACAGGGGCCGCCCAGCCCACCTAGCACTTCTTGAAATAATTTAGACAGAGTCATCAGCCTGTGCTATCATTTTTTTCCGATTCTATACGAAATGATCGAGCAGGACTTAGAGGCAGTTAGGCGTTAAAACATGTGTTGAAAATTCCGCCCCCCTTTTTTTCATGCTGCACTGAATATTCTCATTACACGGACCTGTCGTACTTCGAAACTTCCGTTTCCAATCTCAGCTTTTGATAGTGAAGATAAATTTGATTGGTTAGTGACGATGGTGCGGTTTTTACTCTGTTCATCAGAAGTACACTAAATACTTTGAATCCCTTGGGAAACACAACTAACTGCAATACACATTAATCGAGATGAAACCTAAACGTTTGCCAGCGTATTGACTGAGGAGGCAAATCCCAGTGCTGTAGTGGAAGGAACGTGAATATTTTGTAGTGAACATCTATCCTTTCTGATAGATCACACAGCAACTAGTTTCGCACACAACGATCAAAGAAAATAATCTAAAAATAAATAAATAAAGTCGGAAGTCAGGAGTTGCTTAATAAGACTAAGTGTATGTTGGGGGGAGGAGAGGTTCAGAGAGGTTGATTTGGAAGGGCCCGAGATAATATGCTTGAGACGTCAATGAAAACTGCTCGAAGCTTACAGATACGCGATAGTCCTGAAGCTAAGGGAGTGTAGGTGACAACATAGATTATACAGGGAACCTGAGGAAACTGGGTCCAATGCAGAAAAATATGGACATTAAACGATTTTTTTACATCACGTATCCTCGCAACGTAATCGTAACAGACATTTGGGTAGGTTTTGGATTCATTTAATCGAGAAGAACATTTTGTATCGCTTGGAGTCAAAATCACGTTCAAAATCACTCTAAAACTCTTTATAAAATAGGCCGGCTGCGTCAAAATACTCTGGGATCATGTCTAAATGACTGCGATAACATAGCACTGGTAAAGTTAGCGCGTCTAAACTGAGATAAGTTGCCTATCTGGAGTACACCGCAGTAGTGATCATTCCTGAGAATTTCGGAAGGAACAGCCCTTAGGAAATTGGACTTGATTTAATCAACTTAAAGAGGTGACAATTTTTCGAATTGAAACATAGCACCTGTGGGAGAAAAGGTTCGCCGACTGTTATTGGGTACTTTTAGAAAAAATAATGAGGCTCAACGTGGAACAGGAGACTCTATTTTGTAGAGGGAGTTGAAAATACAAGTAACCAGGTGATCATGAGAACGACTACAGATGAAGTAAGCACCATCTGACTCCCGGTGGAAGGAGGGTGACCGAATAATGCACAATGCCTTTACTGTAAGATCTCAATGGGCAAGTCGAAACCCAAAATTAGTCACTAGTCGTTGAACTTTGTTTGATAACAGCAACAAAACTTTCGTAATTCATATAAGTTTCATTTGACTCGGAACATCCCTTGGGTAAATGTGGTTAAAAGAGAGGACCGATGAAAAGGTAAAACGTGCCATTGATCTCGGTATGAAGTCCAGTTGGAAAGCGGGTCACTGTCAGCATTCTCTACTATATCGGGTGCTTATATCATGTCACACAGGTTGTACGTTTGTTTCGCGTAGACGCATACAACTCGGGCAGGCTTTGACCAAATCATCCGCCACAATCCTTGAACGAAGCGGGAGAGAGGTCACCGGCGTCAGACGCTCTAAGACGCCTCCGCATTTGAGGCTGAAGGTCGCAGTCCACTTTTCAGGTATGACTCGGCAGTACAGGTGGAACGCAGCAGACGGTCAAACGAAAGCGATTTCCAAAGTTCGGTGAATAGATCATCTGCCATCTGGTCAACATCCAAGTAGCAGCTGGCCCAATATACTTTCTGCCGAAACACCATTTCCAATGGTCGCAACGGTCTTCCATGCCGACATCAGCTGACCATTGTGGACCTAGTTGGTTTTACTGAAAATATCTTTCTAAGAATCCGAGTCGCATGCGAAAAGTCTGTACACAAAAGTCAATTTTAAGGTATAAGATGACTTTTACACAAATACTTCAATCACAGTTCAACACTGACTTCTACGGTATCAACTTGGCTGTCACAAAACAGCGGGCGTATTCGTACCACACGTAGGGAATGGCGTCAGCAACTAGAGCAGTTGATGTAACGAAAGTAGAGCATGTGAAGTCAGATAGACGAATATAACCGATTGGTTATAAGGGAACGGAGTTAAAGACATGCCAGATGTACTATCGTGTTGACAAAAGATACAAAATATTCACTTCTTTAGGCTAAAATAAGCTTTATACTCATAGCAGTAAAATCTTCGTACCTTTAATCACCATAATGGCACTTTTGTCATTCTTTCTTCTCTATCCCCCTCATGACTAATCGATCGTGTTCATATAGTTGACATCATGTACCCTGCTTCTGTTACGTAGACTGATCTAGCCACACCCGCCAACCCTCACACGTGACCTGGACTTGAGAGACTTTGCGAATACATCCGCCTCTGTATGGCTGCCTACGTCAATACCATAGGAGCATATGATGATGATCTTCGACTAAAATGTCTATAAGCAAAGAATTTCATGCCTTTAATTTGGTGTTTTCCAAAATGCTGGAACAGCCTGTTGGTGAATCCGGCATTTTCCGCCTCGTCCGTTGATTTAGGTTTCTGAACTAACGAGGCTTATCAGTACGTGGGCGCGCTCATCTTTACCTGGCGTACCATCTGGTCGGGTCCACGGACAGTTCCTTGTGAAACACCATGTTGCTTAAGGATTTTCACACTTTTTGAAGTTTGAACCGTAAGAAAACTGCATTCAATCAGCACACAGATAAGTTGGGCGTTTTCCGCTATCCCTCCGGTTTATCGTATACTCCAAGGCAGCCATGAATTTAAACCACATCAATCGCAAGTCTATCTGCGTGCGCGTTCAGGTCACCACAGTTATACCTGGGTTCCTGACGCGTTATTTAACGAAACGCATGGCGTCGTACAATAGTTTTAGCAGCTCTGCAACTCCAATTTAACGTAGCGTCATCAATTATAATAAAACAGCTGCGACAAGGTTCTTTCGCAGCGTTTACTAAACGAACCACACATGCTACTGTAAACCGACAACTTTCAGGCGGGCTTATGTCACTGTGTGACCCAGTGCTGGCTCCTGAGCATGCAGTTACGGCAGCCTGAGTCACTAGAGGCACGCAGACGGAAAATAACATAAAATACTGGAGCGTGTCTGTGAACTATATCGTTGCACAAGTCAATGCAAGAAAGGACAATCAGCTGCCCAGTTTTCTTTATATTGTGAACTTTCAGGATGGTTAAGTGGACTGGACTTGAGAGTGTCTGAGGCTGTTATCGCGGTTGGACGAGCAGAAGCTAATGCAAAGTGAACAGTAATGGGACCTCTGTGAATAATACTCTGCCCAGAACGACGCGAAGAAAAATAATGGATACATAAAAGCTCAAGATGCAAGGCATGAGCAATAACTTAATTTCACTTACCTCTTCCACTATGTAACGATGTGCAGTAATGATGACGTATGCGAGTAGTCAGTGGTCTGGTGTCCAAGCTCTGTCCTCTCATCTCATGAAAAGCGAAATTTATTACGCAAATTGCTTTGCAGCATTCATTTACCATTGTTTAATAACCAATGAATATCCAGGAAAGCTCGTGAGGACGCGCAAAAATGTTCAGTTTTTAAAGACTGTGTGAATGTATGGAGATTACCTTCCTGTCTAATGGCTTGTAACTGCTTAGTTCGTGTTTTTTAATAAGTGGCTTCGCAGCGAAGGGATTTCTTTCTTCGCCTTTAGTGAGTAAGACAACCCAATTGATGAAGGCCGATATGAAGTGACATAAGTACTGGTCACAACTCTCACTGTCCCAAACAATCTGAGCATCCACCAAGTGCTCAAACTCAGACACAAGACGAATGGGACCTCTGAGAAAAACCTTTTACATGAAAGCTTAACCGTAGGGTAGCAGATGGATGTCAGACAACATCATCATGATATAAGCATCCAATTGCTTCACAAGTTTCGGCCAGCCTGGCTCATGAAACTCTGTAGATGTTGTGGTGAAATCATCAGTGCAGCTTAGTGGGTGGTAGAGGTACACAATCCACTGTAGCGTCCTTCTTAGCCCCTTGCACAATTGGAACGATTTTCACTCTAGAGAATTAAATTCGTTTCCGGTAATCCCGAAGTTTATAGAAGACACCCGTAATATCACTTCAATCCGAAGTCACTTGAATATTTTATAGAGTCAGGTCGAAATTATCTTCTGAGTTGAGCGGTGATGCAGTATTAGTTGGTAGAAACAGCTCATATGACAGGATTTGCTGTCAACTCTTCAAATCAATGCATTCTGAAAACAATTTCTGTGCAACCGTGATATCTGGTATTGTCTTACATTGTGTCATATGTGACCTATTAGGTTTTGCCGTCATTTTTGACATTTTCTCGTTTACCTACCATTAGGAACATTCGAGCAACACTCACTGTGATCTACTTTTGAAGTATATAACTCCAGTTAACACAATTTTGAAAAAAAAGACTTTCCGAAACTTAGCTAAGCCATTCTCTGATATTTCATCAGTAGCTTTAAATTGACGATGGAACAACGAAACGAGTTGGATTGCGTTCCGAAAAATTACCATGTGATTATAGCATCGCCATCACGCGCCATATTTGTTGCAAAAGTGGGCTCTCCTGATCATTCAACCAGCTGGAGCATTCAGTATTAAGACCAGTGGTATGCTGCTTGCGGGAAACGTAGAAACATATGCCAGGTTTCAAATTTTGTTCGAGGCTAAAAGCCACATGATTGGATTTGTGCAGTATGCGACCATTGAATGGGATCAAACAGTGCTAATCATTGGTTCATCTTGTGAGTCGAGGAGTGACCATCAGATACATCCAGTGCTGCAAACCTGTAAACACTGATATAACACAGTCACAGTCATTGCGCAAGGAGCTCTCTTCATCTTTTCTGCCTCACTGTAGACCTAAATTTATGGGCATTTTACCAAGATATATATAGCTGCAAAAATGTTCACACTGATCAAGTAGAATGGACCTAGTGAGAAGAGAAATGGTCAACACTGGGCGGCAAACTAACTACGCCAGTCCAGACTCCGCAACTGAATGTCTCGTAACTGTTTAAAATGACTGTAATTTCGAGCCACTTGGCAAAATTTCTAAGTTTCCGCTTGGATTCGGTAGCAATGAATTATACCGTCATTTTTCTACCATGATGTTAAACCATTACTAGACTATTACATTACTAAACTGAATTAAGTTTCAAGGACGTTGTAACTTCATACCTTGGACTGGCCAAAGCTTTTATGCCTAACAGGGAGAATTTTAACGGACCAAAGAGTCTGATGTTTGTGTTTTTCTGCGGATTTAATGATTCTGATTTAAACAAAACCTCGGGATTCAGGTGACACCATCAATGTGTTCTGGTTCGTAGGGATCCGGGTTTATGTATTTTTCACTAAAGGAGAGATAGCATTCAAATAAGGCGGATTATCTGGTTTTATCATCTTGTCCGCTAGCATCATAGCACGATGTGCCACTTGAGGTTGATTTTTCCATGGTCAGTGTGTGGAAGTCGGTTCCTCTTAAAAGTGAAAATTTATTTTGTAGCGTTCTGTACGGTAAATTGCATGGATTGAACCCTGTCAGAGAGAGGACTAACTGAGTTCATTGAAAACACTCTGTGCTTTCGAAAAGCTTTCCTTCTTGCCTGATTTTTTGAGTTAAACTAATTAACATCTTGGTCTTTGGACGTACAATGTTAGAATAACATCTGATTACTTCTCAGGACCGGTTTATATTTATCTGTTGTGACCGACTGTAGGGTGTCCAAGTATGCAGCTAAAATGAGCATCTCAGATAGCTATCGCATATTTTGCATGATGAAGAGACCATCATATGCAATGATTGTGAAAACTGCTCGGAAGCAAGCCTGAAACTCTGTTCCAGCAAGACACTAGGAAACTGGCCAGTTTCTTGCAGTTTAAAAGCATTTACATAGTGGGGATAAGGTATATGCTGAGCTTTCAACCACACTGGGCGTAGCTTGTACATGCCGGTACACCATTCAATGTTAGGTTAAGAATACTAGAAGAGGACCGAGATTCGTGGCCGAAAATTCTTAATCCCAGCTAGCCCTTTATCAGTCAATTTTCGCTTGGGTTCCGAACATGGAAGCTCAATAAATGAGTTTTCTCTTCAAGTGCATTCTATTTTGTTGTGTGATCTCTTTTTAACTGAGACTTAGTTGTACGCTAAATGCTCTCATTTGCATACTGATTTAGTTATGTCCAAATGAATCCAGCTACATCACTGGTTTATGATGTTCCTCCTTAACTGAATGTGCTGCACCAGATTGCATCATTTTCTAGCTGGTACGATATTCTAGACGTCGCAACACATTGTTTAGACGTAAAACACTACCCACAAAACTTACTGAAAGCTCCTCCACAAACTCCACATCGTTCTTGCGGTTCATTATGTAGGCACGACCATCGAGTTTCCGTCAACCTTAAATTCCGATTAAAGAAGTGTACGGAATTCGCTAAATACTCTCGTTTGTATACCAGTTTCGTTTTCATGGAAGACTCATCTGCATCTCCCATTTATGTTGGTTGCCGGAAAATCGGGGGCAATGCCTACCAGATGAGCCCCTAGAATGACAAAACCGATCATCGGATACCCCATGTTTTTCAGCAACCCTACGAGAGTGTGCTGCTTTCTGAGTTTGTCAGGTTTGTAACAGTGGATAGTTTTTGTGAAGCCCTTTAGACAGTTAATTGTCATCAATTCTGTCACAGCTGTTTCTTCCAAAACGCGAGGAGAATAAAAAATATTCATTTCTGTGACTAGTTATTTGCAAAGCTAAGTATAAAAGTTACTCAAGTTGTTCTTGGTCTATGTAAACGTGTTTTTCACGTGAATTGTAGAAGTTCCGTTCTTTTTTGGCCTTTTTTGGGGAGAAAGTACCGTTGTTTAGTTGGCTCTATTTCCAAACGGCTATTTCTTAAAACACAACTAATCTGCTTCAGCTACGCTTTGTCCAGGCAAGGTAATCGGCCGACGGATCGGCTACTCAGTTCATGATCCGGTGTCGGTTCTCGTGATGGACTGATGGGCTAGGTGGAGACTAAATTGTTGCATACTGCCTTTGGCAGAACTAAACCAGATTTTTAGAGGTCACCTACAATTTCTCGAAACTCTGGAAAGAATTGCACTTGACAGGACCCAACTCATTTACGACCGTGTAAGATCGGATTGCACTACATATATCTCACGATTCTGAATTTAAATGTTGTTCTTACTTAATAATCTGTTTTAGGAACGTTGGACATGGCTCTCTAAGAAACTTCCGTCATCCCGAGAACCGTGCAGTTTCCGTGATCCCGGCCTTTGCACCATCCAACACAAGTCCGACTTTTCATGTCAACGACAAGCCATCAAAACTTACCGCGATTACACTTTATCCCTATGTTCGCAATCATTTGGAGGAGATTTCATTTACAATTAACGAAGTTCTGGAGATCCTAGAACGTCCTTCGGAAAATGCCGACTGGATGCGTTGTCGAAATGCACGTGGAGATATTGGCTGGGTTCCAAGCAACCATTTGCGGATACTTTATCCGTCCTTAGCGGCCGCAGATAGAAATCTGTCGAGGATGGCATGTCCGACGGCGGTCAATCCCTACACCCCCAGGACAAGAGGACTTGAACAAAACATTCAGAACTATGTGGGGACGCATCCTCCTCCGTCGGCGCCATCTCCACCAGAGTCTATGATAGACGGAGAAGCTGTGAGGCTAACACATGCTCTGAAGTCACGTAACAGCGGTGCCCATTTGCGGAAACCCTGGTTTTGGGGTGCTATTAATCAGGCAGAATGTGAGTACATTCTGCACCAGTACTCTCATCCAGGAGATTTCATCATCCGGGATAGCACCTCTAACGTACGTATACTACGAATGAATGCTTACTTTTTCATTCTCACGTGACACCAAATTATCCAGATCATGCATCTAAGACGTGTATCAAAACGTTTGAATTGTTTCAGGAATTGAAAAAAGCGGTAACTGGTGTAGTCATTCAAACATCATCACTGTCATTTTGTAACTGAGTTATTTTTCCTTAAGCAACTCCACCAAGCTATTTCTCTCAGATATTACACTATTTGTTTACTTCATTCACTGATGTTTTAGTCGTGCCCATGATTGGTTAACAGCAAGTACCACACACAGGATTATGTGACTAAAATTGCGGTACCTTCTAGTCTCAACTCGATAGTCTCATCCGCTGATACAAATTGATAGTATACGCACCCACTCGGTCCCGTCGCATCTCACTGATTTTGTTGGTTCTGCAAGAACCTCTTGCTTTTCAGGAAGCAGTTTAGACGAATTCTGTCGCATGTGCAGATCAGTGAGCATTAGTTAGCAAAAATGATCGGGTAGGTCGCGTGCATAGCTAAATACCAGGTTATAATTTAAGTAGAAGAGCCATTTTAAATGCAGCAAAGCTACTCGATACGGGTATACATGCTGCAAATCCAGCGGTATTTCCCTCCTCAAAGTGTGTACAAACAAACGTTATTATTCAAGCCACTTATTCCTAGTTTACTTTATACGTTGAGAGATTAAAGTGTAATGCACCTGTTGATTTTTAGACTTTGGAGAAGGGAAGCCTACGTTTAAAGAGCTGAATATATCTGTAGACGAAATACGCTAATCCTAAGGCTACTGAAAACTCTTCGACCGCCCACGAGCGGTTTGGTTGTTCTTAGGGCTCCTCAACCAGGCGCCTTTCTTGAGTTTTCGTCAACCGAGAGAGATTCCTGGTTCCTGGTGAGTATCCTGCAAATTAAATTTTGCAAATGCGTGTATTTCGCTAATTCCGTACAAGGTGGGTTCAAGTAGAAAATAATTTTGACGGAAACTCTGGGACTGAGCCTACCTGATGAGCCAAAAGAAGAGCAAAACCGGTCGTGGTCCCTCGAAGAGTTTTCAGCAACCTTATGTCTAGTGCATTACTTCTATAAGTGTGTCGTGCTATCTTGTATATCGCACCAAATGAAACATGGGGTAGCCTGGTACAGCACATTCAGTTGATTAGAAATCCCATAAATGAGAGATTCACCTGGGTGCCGGTGTGTCTCCCCCAAAACCAAACTGGTTTGAAAATGAGTGTATTTAGGTAATTACCAGCTAGCTAATACTTTCGTCATCACCCATGAAACTGGTCACCCTGGAAATTGTTTTGTATAGTCCCTTAGGCCTAACCAAGATTGTCATAGGCGTCAACAGCATAGAGGACAGATTTTGGTCCAGCTTAAGAGTTGAACATCTGGAGCTCACGCAGCAGCTCTTTCTGGCTTGCACTTATCCCAAGTGGATGCAGTACCTAGTCCAGATTTGTTTATTCGTTTTCAGATTTGCTTACTTCCAAACCCTGATTGAAATTATGAAGAGCCATTGTCTTTTTTCTGGCGGTAGTTAGTTCATCTTTATCTGAGATTGCAATGCATAAAAATGCACTTTGTTATATCTTGGAGGTTGGCTTCGCTTTACAAATGCGCACACAGCTGACGCTTGGTTATGGGATTAAACCAGTTTGGTCTGAAACACAATTAGTGTTCATTTTGCGACAAAAATGAACACTTAATGTTAAAAACCCACCATAAAAGCTAGCTGCCTGCTCTGTGTCTCCCATCTACTAGTTAATTAGCTACTGATGGATGAAAATCAACCATGAGAGCTGAGATTTTGGACCAATTAAGCCGTGTTCACTCTTTTTCGGCCGAGTAACCGGTATGTCACTAACCTAAATCAGAACCCATAACTTGTTTCCCACCATCGATCCCAGTGTCATTTAGGGTTGCTATGGTTTGTCTTTATGGCAGGGACATAAAGACACACTAAAGCCACACTTTTTTAAGACAGGCGCAGTGGAAAGGATACGTATAACCAGGCCCGAGAAAGATCGCTTATGTTGGTAAAAATCTGCCGTAATTTTTCAATGAAGTCTTCCAGGATAACCCTCAAGTATCTCAAAAACCTTTGCAGTTGTACACAAACGGGGTGTTAACACAATCGTAGATGTTAGCGGAATATAATGTACATTACGATGTAGCTTATAGATGAAGCCGGGTGAAGGCAACCGAAATTGGGAACTTTGAGACCAGTTGACCGGTTGTCATTGAGGTGCACTTGATTACGTCAATGTCTGAGATCACAACAAAGTGTTGCGGGAGATCGTTGGAATATTGTGGAAAACCTCTTCCAGGAGAAGTGTGCTGAAATCAAAATGGCGGGGATGTAAAGGCATATCTGTCGGATCAAGTGAAGAAAACTATCTCCCCGATTTAGGGACACTAGTGATGGTACTGCACATCAGTTTATTTTTCGAATTTCAAAACCCAATTCATTCTCGTAACTTCCCAAAACAAAGTGAGAACTTCGGTGACATTCTGCTCCTTAACAGAAGCAGCAACTGACTGAAACAAACCCAGCTTCTTGCTTCTCACACCCAGTTTGATTGTGATGTTTTGAGCACGCAATACGGGCTGGCGTTCCTTTAGAAGTGAACATTAGTAAAGCGGTTCATTCTGCATAGGGGTACTGGACCGGGACGTGGGAGGTGCAAATTCCACACCGTTGGAAATTGGTGTGGCCCAAAAAAAAAGAAGAAAATGGGATACTACCCCTCACTTTAACAGTGGGAAAGGAGAAAGTGAAGAATTCAACTACGTTACTATCCAACACGCCACAATTTTTGGGGGGATCTACAATTTACGGCTTGTATTCAAGACAACTGTTGAACTTCATCTTTACTCACTAAATGCACTCGTTTAAAGTTTTATTCCGAGCCTCGACGTATGAAATACGTACTCCAACGATTCCAAGTTTTGAATGTTCACTAAAGCCTAATGACACGCACCAAAATAAAAAGAGTAATTGCAAGCACACGCACTTTATTTTGATCGATTTTGTGAGGAATCCTCTCTCGTTTGATGTCTCACGGTTTCTGGGACTCACGTGACCTGCGTGCAACAAGTGGCTGCCTGCGAGCGGCGTTGAAGCGTTTTAGACGAATGCAGAATGTAGAAATAATTCGGAGCATGTGAGTCAATGAAAACACAGCGAAATGCTTTCGCGATCATTTGGAATGCCGTTCGGAGTGGGGGCGAACATAGGTACAGGAGTGTTGTCAAAGTTTGTTGACAATATATGCTTATTAATTGGGTTGCTTCTGATATATTTATCCGCGTGGCCAACCACTTCTTGAAATAGTTCAGGAAATTTGGGTTGATTGTGATTAACTAGTAAGAATATTTCAAAAATACTGCCAACATGGTCCTGAAGCGTTCTGCCAGTAGTATGTTACTCACTTTGTTAAAGTGGAGTGGTGCATATCTGACTACCTAAACAGGACTGTTCACTCGAAGCAAACGGAAGAGAGGGTCCACCCGAAAATTACACTAGTTTTCAGCATATGATTTTCATGGCTCTGAAGAACTGGGTGTGCGGATTTTTGTTGTTTACTGTAGGGAAACTATGATTTAGCATGAGGAATGACGAATGACATGCTCAGTTAAATGTGGAAACGGATGATAAATGTTGAAATGTCAGTGATCAAGGCACTGTCTAATGATTTCGAATCAGTTCAATCACTTGGTCTGTACAGTGTGACTCCTGGGATTAGATATGATGCACTATACGGAAGTGATCTATGAAGAACGGATTGTGCGTCTTCTACGTTACAGAAGTATGCAAGAGTACTTCCNATTTAGCATGAGGAATGACGAATGATATGCTCAGTTAAATGTGGAAACGGATGATAAATGTTGAAATGTCAGTGATCAAGGCACTGTCTAATGATTTCGAATCAGTTCAATCACTTGGTCTGTACAGTGTGACTCCTGGGATTAGATATGATGCACTATACGGAAGTGATCTATGAAGAACGGATTGTGCGTCTTCTACGTTACAGAAGTATGCAAGAGTACTTCCTGGTTTTATTTGAGGACTCAAGACTCTGATACATAAGGCCAAAGGTATAGATAATATCTACAGCTGTTGAACAAGTCCAGTGAGCAACTGAGGGTGAGTACCCAACAGCCTGACAGATCAATCCGTACCCACTTTAATTCAGGTCTGACCAGATTCAGGTCCGCGAGAGTAAATATTTAGACTGGCCAGTCTCCATAACTGACTCGATAATAAAACTCTCTAACGAGACGTGGCAGGTAGTGCTTCCCTCATCTAAACTGGAGCAATGTTAGTACCACCTATACAATCATTCACAAGCGGTTTCCATGAAATCCGCACAAAAAGTTTACGATGGCTCCTGTTTCATTTACAATAAATCTTCGGTGAGGATATAAGTCATGGATGACCGTGGTACTGAACTGAACTGAAAGAATCCGACTGGTTTAACTACACAAGTAACTAGTGAAGACTTGTGAAGCAGACTTCCGTTTACTGAAGCGCTCTAGAGCAGTGTACAGCTACGTCAGGATTCCTGGGGTTCATGGTCAATGCGAATCTTCCGATTCTCGATGGGGCCGAATGAGTTGTGTAGCAGTTGAACGAGTCACAAGTTGTTCGTCAGAAAAATGGTCAAATTATTTTTACGCGGGACAAAGTGTCACTCATTCTTATTCTCATACGCATACTGACGTCACTTGTTTCACCTGGAGTCATGACCTTCAACGTATTGGAGGAATGTTCTCATTTCTAAACAGGTTACTATTGTGTTGTGAGTAGTCAAAAAATTGGTTGGACTGAAGCGACAGCCTGGCATACCCAGCTTCATGATTGGGTCGTAATTACGTTTATCGTAATTAGGATGGAGTCGCTCATTCTCCTACTATCCCCTCCGATTCAAAGACGTTGGATACCAAAAGTATTCTCCTGGCGGTGACTAATATGTGTCATGATGCACATAGTCTGAGTAAATGAAATATTATTTCAACCGTATGCATTTTCAAGAGGCATTTTGAGTATACCATAGTATATTTTGCTTTGGCTAGCCGTTGGAGACGTATGCCTGAGAAAGTTTGCGATAGAGGACCACCTTCATGCAGGACTCGTTTTGTCGCAACTATCTGCTTTTCGAGGGATATCATTGTGGGTTTGTGACACAGTCTGCGGGACAATTAGCAATGACAATTTTCGACTCTTCCGAGGGAATAACTTTCATCAGCTGAAATCGATGGCTTATTCTATCATACAAGTAAACTAAAGCATCGTGTAACGCACAAATTCACCATTGAGAAGATTCTATTCAGCTCTGCGCTTGTGCTGATGCTTCTTTTGATATTTACTGAATGACAACCAGCCATTTTAAATCATTACACAATACATAATACTTCTTTAACTCTTATTCCACTTACCATTCATGTGAATGAAACTCACTGAATCAACATAATACGCTTTAAAGCACTCAACAAAACTTCCTATAAATAACCCACTACTGTTCCTATCCTTTTAGCCAAACGACCTAACTATTGTTCTGAACTCAGGCAACTTGATTCGAAACTTCCGAATTACCGTGAGCAATGGATGTTATCACATTGGAATGCGAGTTTTTCCAAGTGTTGAGGAGCTCATCTTCCATTTTCAACGGCACTACATCTTTACTTCCAAATTTGAGAGCTGTTTTCTTGTTCGACCTTTTGCCCACCCGGGCTTCTTGCAATCTTCGTGGTACGCTGTGAACGAACAACTCATACCTCCAGTCTACACGCCTGTTTTTCGACCATACGAAGCGGTCTGTGGCACACAGATGCATTCAGCACGAACGCTATCGCGGTAGATCGAAACCTTGCCTATAGCCACTGCTTTTTGCCTTTCTATTTGTTACTTTAACTAATCTATGCAATGCTTTTTAACTTGCATGAGATCTTCGTGGCATTTCGTCCTAATTTTTTTTAACTTGGCACATGTTTGTATAAAGAAAAATATATGATTGGCAACTGGGATAATATTTTTTTCAGAATGTATACCAGGGTATGTCATAAGGCTTGCTGATATTCCAACCTTGCATTGAATCCTGATTTCTGTAATCCTAGAAAAAACAGACGTAAAAGAAGAAGAGACTCCTCCAGGCCCAGTTTACAATTGTACGTTACACACGACCGATTGAACTCATCCGAACAGAATTTCCTGCATGTATCGAGTTGATGGCTACTCAGGAAAGATAAGGATACATATACGCATACATTTTTTCAACCGAACTACCGCGTATCCTTAGGTGGAAGAACTTTCAACTGTTGCGAAAATTACATCGTCCTGATGCAAAAACTCCATGGATTTTTGCGGACAATGTCACACTAGCATGACTGTGAAGTGAGCCATAATCTATCAAGCAGTCTGGTTTATTAGCAGACTCAATGATGGATAGATGCATGCAAGTAGTACTTCATGCAATATAATTGCTTTCTATGGACAATAAATGTTCACACTGCGTGAGAACTGCGCCACAAATTAATAAATTTCAAAATGAAGTTGTACTTCTACCACTGATCGAATCATAGAAAATGCCTTCGTCAGTTTAACCAACGTACGTTAATATCCAAGAAAACAGATGTGAGCACTTTATGGCACACTTCGACCAGTTGGTCAAGTGAACTTTTTTGTGGGTTGTCGCGTCATATTCATATCAAATTCAACTATGGCGGATGTCTTGAACACGACTGATCTCACTAACACAAACTTAAGTGATTCTTGAAAGCCTTGTTCTACTTTCAATTCTTGTAAATTGTTTCACTGTCTACTTGATTCAAGAGCCTAATCAGATGTCTGACCGTCATTATGAGTCTGTTTGTTCACCCTGATCAAAATTACTTCGAACTCACTGGTCACAACACTCCAAGCCTTTTAACTCGTAAATCATTCACCACACAGGCGCGCGTGATCCATAATAAGCACTTATTATAATTTTAACAACACTGCTTGTGAGTGTCCATGGATCAATAGGCGAAGCAGACTGATCACCATCATCTCGTGTGCCTGTTTTCCCGGCGTGATATTGTGTACGGATGACATAACTAGCCAGAAGCGTTAAAAAGCTAAAGAAACTGTGAGATGCAACGGAAATCCTAGATCCACATCTCTCTGAGTTCGCAACTAATAGGACATTTTTGCATCACCATTCCTTCACACTCAGGTATCTAGGTTGTGATTGGTTAGTATACACAGATCACGGGCAGACTGGTTCCCTTTTCCTCAGTTTGATGTCTATTCATTGGCATTATCCGTAGTCTGCAAGTTCTTCCATGCGTTTACTCGGTACACCTCTAGTGAATTTTGTTGTCCATCTGTAAAATGCACACTCACATGACCCTCATTTGAATAATCGTCCTCCTGTCCTGTCGCAATCATTCTGCTTAGTCCGCACCAAAATGGGGACAGCACTGGACCCAAGTTTTTCTCTTATGGGAGCCCATCAGCAGTTCATATCCTTGGTCGTCGCTCTCTTGGTCGCACCTCTGACATCCGAAGCGAGCGTGTTACCACTACTCCACCAGCACACGCTGGACCAGTGAATATGTTCGCGCTTTAGTGATATGAGCGGACAGCCCGATGGGTCGAAGGACGATCCAGCAACATACCTTGCTTGTGCCGATCGACGGGCCCGCCAGTCAGGAAGCATCACAGACACCTGAAACATGCTGGACACTGTTTCAGGTGTTGTTGGTGCTTCTCCCTTTGGTGCGGACTCACCAGAATGAATGTGCCTGGACAGGAGGACGATTGTCCAAACGATGGTCATATAAACGTGCGTTCATCATGTCAGTTTCGACTGAGTTTTGGTGTTGTGGGCAAATTGCATTTCTGTTGTAGGCTTTCTCTCGGCGATTCTTCTTTCCAAGTTTTACTCTTACTTTTGTGAGGCTTTATGCGAAAAAACTGACATGGTTGTACGATATTGAAGTACTGTTTTTCTTCTCAAGTGGTGTTGTCAGTAATGATGGTCGTGATATTGCTGGTGTTGTTGTTGTTGTTGATGATGATGATGATGATGGTGGTGCTGGTGATGATGATGATATTGATGATTATGATGATTGTGATGATGATAACAATAATAATAATAATGAATTCTTTGTGGAGGCGGATATCAGCGATGTAACAACGATGGAATGAGTTCTGTGGGAGAGCAAATGAAGAGTAGGCTTGATAGAAGAGAAGGGGTTTACTGTGGGATGTGGCTTGGTTTGGTTAACTGAGGTTCGGGTTCAGAGTTCACACTTCTAATATTTCGACTGGCAAAAAGGTATCGGTAGATTTCAGACAAACCGGTGACATTTGGATGACCTTATGCGGCAGCTTACCCGCAGAAAGGTAAAATCGTATATAACCACGAACGAAAAAGGCGTTCAAGAAATTATTGCCCAAAATTTTCAACCACAGACCAATATAGCCCGTCCGGTCGACAAATGCTATAAAATTTTCAGATACGTGGAATTAATTCTGGCCTGGTGAATTCTGATCCTGCGAAATACATTTTTTTTATACAGAAAATAAAGTGTGAGGTGGTCAGATCACAGATAATAGACTAGTTGAGTGAAAAATGAGGGCAAAATAGAACAGTACATCACTGCACAGCGTCTACTGCCAAAGAGCAGCTCTGGCATGTCCAGTGAATTTTCGCATTTTGACCTGGGACCATGATGATAATATTCCTGAGAAACACATCCATATACATCAGAGCTGTCTAGCTGTCGTCGCTTAAAGATCCGGTGATGAATTCGATAGTGGTGAGGCATATATCTGTGAACATTGTCTGCGCTTCGAAACACTCCCTCCAGCGGCACTTCACACAGTTTGACCGGCCATGTTTTATTTCTGCAACTTTTTTATATTTCAGTGGCGTACTCATTTTCACTTGCCTACAACTCACCGTCTTTAGATGCGATAGTCGTCAAGTAAATTGTTTGGTTGCTAATAAATTTCTCGGAACATCCGACATCCTCCAGCGGCACTTCACACAGTTTGACCGGCCATGTTTTATTTCTGCAACTTTTTTATATTTCAGTGGCGTACTCATTTTCACTTGCCTACAACTCACCGTCTTTAGATGCGATAGTCGTCAAGTAAATTGTTTGGTTGCTAATAAATTTCTCGGAAGACATCATCCGACATCTTGCGGGGGGGGGGGAAGTAGATCAGTAGAATCGGATGGGGTACGTTTTTATGGCTGGCCTATTTTGTCTGTGTGGTGTGCATACACTGCACAGTCGAGCGGAACACGCTTTAACCCTACAATGCAGAATGAACTTTCAGTGAGAATGGTCCTCAAGCATCATAAGTTGCAGGAAATTCGTGTATCTTTACTGTCGGACACAAATTTGATATTCGAAGAGGTAGGGTAGCGGATAAAGGCTATTTGCTGCTGCTGACTATCTGAACAATTCATCAAAATCTATGTTGCGTATGAAGCCATGACCTAGCACAAAATATGCAGCTAGAAGCGCGAGTTTAAAAGTTCCATGTGTCGAAGGAGCTAGGCCATTTTCCACAAACATACCGAGATGAAGGACTGAAAACAACGTTAGGAGTTAGCAAAAGATTATTTTGTCTCATCTAAAAGCCGAATTCTCACTGACTACGGTCGATCAGTAGTCACCTTGTATAACGGTGGATTCCACTGATGCAATTAGCATGTTTTCTGGTAAATCCGCTTCGCGGCTCCTGAAAAGTGAGATCTTTTACAGAATTTGTGAAGTCGCCTTGTAGTATTTGCTTGTATTTGAGTAACAGTCAATGAATATCCAGGAAAGTTCAGGAAGACGCGTTCAGGGAGAAGGTGGATATTCAGTTTTTTGTGAACAAGATGCATATGAGAGTTTTGCTTCCTTGTCCAATACTGTGTTCAGTTGGTGTTGCTCTAATGAACAACTTCTCAGCGAAGGCCTTCTTCCTTTCACTGGTAGCGCATGCAAAGACAGCTTTTATTTGTTCTTTGTGCGGTTTTTGTTAAACTTAAAGCGACATCTACCTAGCTAGGTCGTCAGTTTCGACGAGTCTATGATTAGGGTTTAGTGTTTGTATTTTTTAAGACAAACGCCTCATGTTACAACCAGCTAACGTGGACATACCAACGCGTATAAGCAAAAGCTGTTGGCTGAAGCGACAGTAATTATTCCATTGGTGCGCAAGTTATAAGTTAGCTCTGGAAATCTTCGCTTACTCTCCTTTACTGCAATTCACCCGGAGTTGTCAGTGCATTTGTGGTTCTGTAAAAGCTGTGGCTGCCGCTGGTGTATCACGAGATAGTTGTTGGATGAATACATGTCTTTCCCTTTGGTCGAAGATACCCCGAAGAAAAGCCCCTTGTTGGCCTTTTAACAGGAATTTTACAGCACTTTTGATAGGTGCCTCCTGTGGATCCTCTAATGTTCACCCCAAAAGGGTTCATGTTTTTGACCCTTACAAAAAATCTAATATTGTTATGGTAAAAATGACAGAGGCTAGATTTTTTGTTGTCTGGGCATAGAAGTTCTCACGATCTTTGACTAGGCACCCAGAGATTACATGAAGCTGCTGTGGAGTTCCTTTCACGCAAAAATGAGACTCTAAAAATGTCATCTGCCTCCTCCGCAGAAAGCTCAGCATGACATTCTTTTTTTCTCATTATGAAAATATGTTCAGGAACCGCCTTACCTGACCTTCCAAACTGTAGATGTTTTAGGTTGCAGAAAACGAGAGATTTAGCTGGGTTCTAGGTGAGTCTCTCGCGAAACTAAATTTGTTTGCAAATGAGTGTATATCGCTAAGGACCATCTATCTTAGAAATACCCTCAGCAGAGATACTTGGTGATATCGCTTCGAAGTGATTGCTCCTGGAAAGGTTGTACCGCCATTCAGAGTGATTGAACAGAGTCCTAATTTCCGATAAATTGTTGACTCTTCAGGCATTCTCTTCTTTAACTCGCTCAAAACATACTTCTTTCACATCGGGTAGAATATATCGGACGCCACTAAAGTGAAGCTGGTGCTGTATGACTTGACTGGGGACCTGAATTAAAGCGGTTTAGTTAAGGGCATACAGGCGAGCGTATATGAGACAATTGAAATTCCTTCTACTTCCAGGCGTTTTCAGCGTTTGCAATAAAAACACCTGCAAATGATGCAGGGCTCCGAGTCAACTCTGGTAATTAGGTTCACTGGGAGTGTATCACGCAAACATATGCGTGTTAATCAGCACGGAGAATGCGCACCCGGAGCGTGCCAATACAACCTGACTGGGCGTCTCATCATTCTTGCTGTCAAAACTAAACTAACGTTGGCTTAAAAAGCGAGCGACGTCCGCGTTTGTTGGCACCTTAAAAATGGTAGACGCTGTCGAAAAGCAAGAGAACCGAAAATTTGTCTTTCTAAAGAGGAAAATTTTGCCTTCGAAATATGCCTGTTTCTTCAGTGAAAGGCCCACTGCCTGAAGGTGTCCGGGGCAAGTTGGATGAAGTTGAAATATCCGTATTTTATTCACTATGAACGCACTTGGGTGGAAGTTGTAGTGTTCAACAAAAAAATTCAGCTGGATACTGCTAGGACGGCACAGTTTAAGGAGCTGAGTCTTAATCATCAAAGTTATGATCAGCAAAAATTACCTTCATCGAGAGCAACCTGAGTGGAACCATGAAGGACAAGAGAAATGGGGGTGGATTGGAGCAGACCGGTGTGAGATTAATATTAGGGGCTTTGTGTGGTTAGTCTGGATGAGCTATTGAAATCCGATGATTGTAAGTGAAGATAATTAGTCAAATCATTCATTGTCGATTATGAATCAGTCATTTTTGGCGTCCATTTCTGGCTTCTGAACTATGTCATGAGCGGCTCTCTTGTTTTCATAAATCGCACTCCCTCTTATTTTGGTGGAGAATTCTGTGGGTCGCGTGGAAATCCAGCTGATGCTTGTCCTTTCTGGCTACATGGAACCACATCTCCAGTTATCCTCCGAGGTGACAACATCACTACTCAGGAGCCAAAGCAGGTCCATAACATTACGCCCTTCATACGTAAAAGATATCTAGACGGTTATACACATCGTCATTGGAGGACGATAGACAAACCTTATAAATCACAAAAACGCTTCTGGATTTCGTAGTTCAAAACTTTCCAAAGTACCCAAATGCAGGTACCTTTTAATTCCCCAGTGGTCAAAAACCTAGGGCTTCCGGATATTTTCTACTTGTTCACGCGATATTTTGCTAGCTCAATTCACGACACTGAGGATCGTCTTTTCACAGACCTGATATTCCATGGGCGGGTTAACTTCGCATCATCTTCGCAATGCGCTGATCAGCAGTGAAGAATTAAGCCTTGTCCTCTCAATCCGACTTTGAACCCCTTCGGTCGCTAAGTTTCGGGTTGGCTGAATGAGACTAGATATTCAAATTCAGCAGTTTGTTCGTATGCATTAGAACTGTTCTAAATAGTCACCCAAGTTAACATCGTAAGCCTAATACTCAGACTCGAAGACTCGAGTGGACAGCTGAGTATCCGTCTAACGCCCATCTAGCTGATCATTCGATTGCGAAGTTGCAGAACACGGATGAAATTGGGCTTCAATTTCGTACACATCCAACTCAAAAGTTTCCAGGCGGCGTGCCTGGATGCAGGCTTTAATTCACGAGCATTAAGCACTGACGTTTTCAAACTCTGTGGATAGTCTATCAGCTGTAAGAACTGGTAAGGGTCAGACGCCGCCGGCAAGTACACGAAGCCTTCTATGATGGTTTATCAAAGTTTAAATCGACCTTACAGGGTTTGATATATGGCAAATAATTGGTCAACTCCGGTTCTTCCCGGTAGAAACCACTTAATTTGAACTTTTCCGTCTATCCGTTACTTTAAGAGATGTTACTGTAAAAGAGGCTCAAAAATTTAGCTGCAGTATTATTCAGACTGATCCAGCTATAGATAGCACAGACCGAGTTCCAGGCCTTTTGGGGGACTGGCAGAAATACTGCAGTAATACAACAACCCTGAGGAGCAGATTCATTTATCGCCACCGAGAAAACAAACTTGCAGAGAGGTTCAAGAAGTGCAGGTAGGGAAGAATTTATAGAATTTCTTCAAGCTCTCTTGCTGTCCGGGTATTTTCCTTTCTTACGTTGATTGATACTCATGATGACCCCCATTTCAATTAGCTCTCAGTGGTTGTTGCTGAAGGGTTTGTTTAAAGGATTAGAGGCTTTAGACGTGAGCTGATGGATGATCGTGAAATTACTTGAAGTACTTCATCTAACGTCGCATCCTCCACTTATGGCAATCAACAGAACCTGCATTTGCATTACAGAGCAAGTATCGGTGAGGCTGGTATAAGCCTGTAGCCACCCGTGTAAGAAGATATAGTCGGCCGAAATCTTCCATGTTGGATGAAAAATTCCACGCTTCAGTCAATTCCTACGATGATTTTACACTATCCGTGCTTGCGTGACGTGTGACCTGCCTCATCCGTATGCGATTTTCACCTAATTTACTGTCTTTTTGGATCCAGATCTGTTGCGTTAGAAATCCGACCTTCTAAATGCTATTTCTCAGTTGATTCAGATTGGTTTGTTGCGTCAGGTGAACACTGGTGTCAGGGTGTCGTGTTTGCTTAGTCAAATATCCCAGTAGGTTGGTGTTATCAAGACGTCGTTGTGATCAGTCAGTCATAGCCTCCCATAGAACTAACCCTTTGATGGTGATGATGTGAAGTCAGCCTAAGTTGCAGATTCATGAAGCAATATACACTTGTTCTATCCTTTTTGGGAAGCAGCATCAGTGTGTTTCCTACAATGTTACAGGATCATTCGACTTCTCAACTTCCGGCTGTTATCTGAAGCTGTTTTGTCACAGTCTAACAAGTAGTGGTCGGAAGTGTTATCTGGGCTACTAAGTAATCTTTAGGCGGACCACGATAGAGACAGTCGGTGGAAGTGAGAAACGGTTTATTTGGCCTCAAGGCGATATTTTCACAAAAAGTTACCACATTTGTAACACATTCTGTCTCGGTATAGAATAGAGTAGTTCGTTCATAATCTCACACCATGCGTAGTAAATGACGAACGTTACAACCATGATCGACCCTCATAAATACCGCCTTGTGCTGTCCCGGTAGGCACAAGACTTGCAATATTTTCGATGCGTCATTGTTCCCCACTTCGAGAGAATCTCTTACGACATGATTTTTCTTTTGTCTTTGGATGAGATCATGTGTTCACAAGGTTGTAAAAATTTGCACTGGCCAAGTGATCTGTGCGTCAAACATTCACAGCTTGAGTGTGTACATTGATTGGATCTCTTCGGGGTCGGTGTGCGCTAGCATTCTGTGCGGACGTGCACTCGAAAGACAATTGGATGGTTTGCGCATGGATAATAAGTTACGTGATCGATATCCATCATGCTGATTAAACATGCCAACTGACAGCTCAGTAAAACCAAATGGTTCATTGTGAGCGTCACGTGGTAAGTGGCTCACTGCTGTCATCACTTGGGATAATATTACCTCTGCTATTTGGATCTATTCTGAGTGGTGTTGGGTGGCTGGTTTCGAACAACTTTCAGCTGGACGAAAATTTGACTGCCGTGCAGAATGAACACAAAGCATATCAATACGAACGCATTGAACTAGCGTTGACTGTTCTCATGCTCTTAGGAAGTATCCTGCTGTTTTTCGGTGCAGCCGGAGTATTTGTTTTATTTGTACAAAACTGCATGTGGTTGTGTTGTCGGAGAAAAAAGACGTTTGAACCAAACGAACACTTTCAAGTAATCGGTCCAGCAAGAAATTACGGGACACAATCGACTGCTCCGTAGTACTTTTATCCTTATTGCAGACTGGTGGTGCGCACACTGTTTTGCTGAAAAGTTCATGCTACATTTCATATGAATATGTCTTTTTGTACCGCTTACATTCCATTTAATAGCCAGTAGATTCAGCAAAACCTACTTTCTTTTTAACACTCGCTAGTGCGCTGCAATATGTGAGGATAGGGCAGATATTCTTACTCCAGAATGTTAATGGGTACCATACAGTGTGCTACTTTAAACCCCACGGTCAAAAAAATCTGATTTCAAACGTTGCATTTGCTTGAGTCGAACTTCTAGGTGGGTTGCTTTCATTAGGTTTTAGTAAAGTTTGGCTTTCCACTGGCATGTAAAGATTCAAGGCCAAATGTTTCAGGTAGTCGTCAACAAACTGTAAACAGATGTTTGACTCAAAGTCGAACTGTTTACTAAATTTGCAAATCCTGTTATTTCCCATAGTGTTTTAGGCTGAGATTATCTCAGCTCCGCAGCAAGTGATAGAATAAATCGAGTGAATGTGGAAGGCCACACACTGCCTCTGGCAATCGACTAGCCATTCGAGTCCAACAAAGATTTGTGCAACCAAAGATGGAGTTTTAGCAAGAAAGATTGCAAAGTAGTCCAGTGATCGTATTGAGAAGGGGTAAAGCAATACGTAGAAAGTCCTAATATATAAGATCCTCACGCCGGAAAACATTTGGCACAGGCGATTCATGGTAGAAGTATAATGAACGGAACGAGATGGCTCAGTGGTTAGAACGCGAACTTACTGACCGGAAGGTTCGTGGTTCGAACCCGACCTTTGCCTCTGGAATTCCCCTGTCTAAGCTTAGGCGACCTAGCAGCATTCCTGCACCCGTGCTTCTTTCTGGTGGCATGGCGGTCNCTCCACTTTCCCTATCGCGAGGCTTGGGCAATCTGGCAGTATCCCAGCCCTCGTGCTTCCTTCCGATGGCATGGCGGTCAGGCACCGAAAGGGTGGTACAGCTGAACTATCTCTACGTAAAACGGAACAGAACTGTGATGGTACGGACAAAAAACATCGCGGGTGTAGATAGCCTTGTAGCCTTAGTGAACGATTAGGGCAAAGTTAGAGAACTCTGAAATCGACCAGAATACCGTCACTTCAGAAGGGTGTGGAAAATTGTAGGTGGCTTTGCAGTAATAGACTTCCGAGTTCATTAGACCAAGTGAGTAAGTAGCCCATTCGGTCGGTCGAGTTTTAAGGTAGAAGAAGAACTTATCAGGAAAGTTTCTTTCGAGTGGTACACCATGTCAGTGTTGAATATTAGTTCAAACGGTCTTGTCGGCTAATGCCTAAGTCTTACGGTTGACGGCTTGGGGGTGTACTAGAACAATTTGATCGATTTTGGTTCTTGAGCATCAGTCTTAGAAAGCCTCAATCGGTGACTCCTCTTAGGCCTAGTCGGTGAATTTCGTTCGTCTCTGTGGGTTCGTAAGTGCTGCGACAATTTGATTAGGAAAGGTGAGATTGCGCGAACGTTGGTCTGGTTGAAAAATGCACTTCAAGTATAAGCTATTTCTGTTGTGACTCCTCCTCAACGCACATCACCAATGGTCAACCCGAACCGCTCTTTACATGTTCTCCAGTTTGTGGATATCCGGGATCTTGACAATTTCCACCTTCTTAGCTCTCAATCATTGTGGCGTAAATTACAGTCCCTGCATCAAAACTTCAAAATCTTCTGAATTTATTTAGCGTTCCCTACTTAGCTCATGCCCTATCCAGTACTGAAGCTTTCAGTAGTGCTCGGTATTCGTGTGCGCTTCTTGGTGGCTTATTGTTTATTTTCTCCGATGCCCACCGATTCTTGTATACAGTTCTGTAGCTGTTTATCCTATGTAGACATGGAGTTCAATCGTTGAATTTTTATTTTGTCAACACAAGCCCCGGTTCAGTTTACCGAAAGACCATCTTTCGATCACTACCGATCACACCAAAGGAATATCATCAATTGAAGCGCCCTAAGCCAGAATATCAAGGACCAAACCCGACTAAAACTATTCTAACACCCCCAGCTCGTCGACCGTGAAACTTCGACACCCACGTTAACCGACGTTATCATTTAACTGATATTCAACACTGAAATGGTGTGCCAGTCAAAAGAAAATGTTTCCGAAAAGTTCTTAATCTTTCTCAAAACTCCGCAGACGTAATGGCTTATTCATCTGGTCTAACGGAGCCCTTGTGTCACAATCAAAACAATCTCCTGTTGTAAATCTACGGGCAGGTTCCCAAGGAATTCTGGATAAGGGCGTAAACCCCTTTTCTCTCTTGCCTGATGGTCAACAAGGACAGTCCCTAAAATCTGTTGCATCCCGAACCCTTCTACGACCTTTCCGCTTTTTGGTAGTACAGAAAGTGCAAAGGGGGGACAAACTATTCAGTGTGAAATGATGCATTTGGACACCTACTATGGGGATCTCAGTACTGATGATGGTCTCGATTTTAAGGGAAACGTCATCAGGCTATGATAACTACCATTTCAAGATGGGGAGTTTTTTTGAGTTCTGAAGATGAACTACGCCCAAGTGCTCCAAGTGAGCGTATTTTGGAATTAAAACGTCATACAGAGTGGCGGGCCATTGCGTTGTATATCTTGACGTTACCTGGTTGGATGCAGTGAAAATTAGCTATAGCTCTCCTGAAGGATACTAAAGAACAGAAAGCATTCCGGAGACAACTTCATGGTTCTGCACAACCATGTTTGTAATTGCAATTATGCTTCTGCACCACAACCAGCAGAAATGTAACAAGACCGCCAGAAAAGATTACTAATGGTGGCGGATCGATGAATAAGCACACAACTGACAGGTAAGGAAACGAGTGGAGATCACATGTACTATAGAAAAAAACCACGATCATCGAAAGGGAGTTAGGCTCACAAACTGTACGTGGTGAGTGAAACAGTTGAGAATCTACCTAATGGATTCCGGTTGTTGGAAACGGTTGTAAATATACTGCTCAGCTAAATCGGTACATCGTTTTCAAGTGTCAAATGAAGTTGATGCGGAGCAGATTTTTAGGAGTAATCGGCGCACAACGTTACTGTTGATCTGTAAACTGATATGAGCACAGTGATCAGATTTTCACTCAAGGGACCAGGTTAGAGGGCCGTACACCAATACATCATCCAGATGATTACATTAAGCAAATACTCGAATACACAGCTTCGCACACAAATAGAGTTTAGCATCCCGAATATACAACTTTAATCGAACGCTTTGCGGCGAAAAGTTCAATCACGGCAAAGGTGACTCCTCACCGACAAAACGAGTTTACAACGTGGAAATCGGATAACACTAACAAATGAGTTTTCTTTGCCATTAGCTTTTTGGAATGTAATGCCTCTTGATCCAGCCTCAGTGGACTAAAAATTGAATCTGCTTTGAAAGAACAGCCCAAAAGAAGGCGCAGCAAAAAAACAACAAAAGCAAAGGGTTATGGAGTGGTTATAACAACGGCACACACGGAGTAACAATGAAAGTTCTGTTGATCAGACAACCATATCAACAAATCAACCAATGAAAGACTCCACTCGACAACAAGCACTTAATAAAGATCATAATAGTTCTCCGGTAATCACAGTCCTATTCCGATCGTCTGAATTGAGATGCATCGTCCATACAAAACATGATGGACATTGACTCAGCGTTGCCGGCATTCCACTGCTGCTTGAACGACCTCAGCTTCAGTTGAGTCTCTCGTGAAAACCAAATTAATTTGCGGTTGAGTGTACTTCTCGAAAACAGTGCAATTTTGTTTCAAGTAGAACATAAAGTTGTCGGAAACTCGGGGACTGAGCCTACCTGATAAGCCCCAGGAAGGGCAAAACCGGCCGTGGGTTGTCGAAGAGTTTCCAGTAACCGTGTAAGTAGTTTCCTTTATGAAAATCCACCTTCTGTTCTGTTCAACAAACGCCACCGATCCGCATAATGATAATGTGCAGTAATTGGCAGACAAACGGCGTCTTTACATTAGTATCATGGGAAAATACAACAGCAAATGCAGTATGGATTCCTCTGATATACCATGGTTCCATATATACCCAGTTAGTTTGCTTGTGATTGGCGGCTCTGGGTTTTCAGAACCAGCCTCTTTAGTAAATTGACCAGTGTAGTGGCTGCAAAGGTCATTCAGTAAGCGCAATTCAGTCTAAATGGAACAATTAGAACAAGATCGATAAAGTCCTGCATTGCTTGAATAACACAGCAAATAACTATGAGCATTTTTGTAGACTTAGTTGTGCTCACTCTCGGCACGACTAGGTTAATGTTTTACACCTTTCCATCTCATACTGTCATATCGATTCTTTCTATCAGGAACTCAAGGTCACAAAAATCGACATTATTTTAATAATATTCTTTTGTTCGTTGGTGCGAATCCGATAATTCCATTGACTGGTGAAAAAACTCAAATCAGCATTGATTTTTACTTCATTGACCGAGTTAGATTCCATTCGTACTGATGCTATGTCAGTGGTAATTGCATGCATCCAACACGTCCTAATGATTGTTCTTCATTGGTAATGGTGGCGTACTCCATTGACAGTTGCAGATGACGAGATTCCGCCGTTTAATAATACTTAATGGGCCGGGCTTAGGCTTACAAATACAACTAGGTTTTTGCGTTCAAAATTCCAAGTATTTTGTGCTGGTCATCAGTTCAACGCGATAATCTCACACGAATATTATATTATACATTATATATTTCGCTGTGATGGAAAACTTTTGATTATTCCAATCTCTTTTCCTTCGAGAGAGTCGGCAAGTACAAGACAACTATTTATATTCCACAGTGACGGAAAATCTGCTCTATCCCTTTTGGGAATCATCAGCAGTGAGCACGAAACTTTAGGGAATCTCGAATTCGGGACCTCCCGGATAGTGGACTACACACAGCCGTTCTACCAGCGGCTTTTCTACCAGCAGCCGTTCTCCAGCAGTGCGATTGGTTCATACTAAGACAGAGTATAGCGCCACCCATCCTTCAGTCACGTTATCCACATTACGTGGTCGCCTGCCAACTGGCTCCCAAAACTCCTCAAGTTAATAACAATCTATAAGTAGCTGGGACGAAGAATACAATTTCCTCGATTAGTGAAACTCATCTGAGAAGTCGTCATTGAGTATGGTGTGAATACAACATCTCCCTGGATGCATGCAGATCACAGCAGCAGAACTTCTAACCAGTGAGTTTCAAGAACGATAATCATGAATGCTGATTATTGATCGTAGGTGAGTTTTGCTCTAAAGATGACCTTACCGAAAACTGACTCGTGTCGGTTTTGGAATGTCACGTGACTCACCATGCTCTGAAATGTACAAGAACACTGGAACGAGTATCAAGAGGATAGTGATTAAATAAAATCAACAGAGATTGTTCAGCGGTTTTGCTCCGATTTTCTCTGGTTTGTAGTTTGAAATAATATAGGTATCAACGATAAAACGGGATGGGATTTAAAAGTAGAAGGAGGTAATTCACTCACAGGTTATCAGCTCACCTTTCTTGATAAAAGCCCTCTCGATCGACCGGTATTCTTCAGGCGATTTTATTCGGTGCATAAATTGACCTCACTTTCATAATTAACTAAGACGCTTGAATCACGGCAGCCTGTTGTAATCCACCTAATGGACAGTTTATAGTGGCCATAAGATAACGTGAAGGGAAAGTACATATTGGGAAAAAAGTTCGTTTCAGGCACTTCCAATCACCCAGCCTGCAAACCGAGATTATGCAGTGGTTGTTACCAAAAAACTTTACAGAGATCACCACAACGTTTTCATAGAAACATAATCACGAAGTGGGACGAACAGGCTACACAGTGGCTGATATACAAGGTTTTGCCTATCATCACCTTACCTTCCTTAATTCGGCAAAAGTAGCACAATCCGAAGTTTGACCTCAATTAATAAGTCCGGAGATTTTTTTCTAGAACGATGGAAAAGTCGGAAGGTGAATTAAAGCATGTATGATAGAACTTGAGTTGAGCATTTTCTGCTTTATTTTGTCGAAAGTCTTGTAACGGATACACACTGTCCGGAATGTGTGGAATCCTGTTTTACTTGCGGGTGTGCTCTCGTCGAGAATAAGATCATATTTCGTCTTGAAGCACGTACGAATATTTATTGACTGTACACCCATGTGCCAGGCAGAAAAATAGTAATAGAATGGTGACTACTCACCATTCACCACTTACCATGCGAATTTGTTGTCGAATGGAACCGCGGTCGTTCATTTAATAAAGTGGAATCCTGTTTTACTTGCGGGTGTGCTCTCGTCGAGAATAAGATCATATTTCGTCTTGAAGCACGTACGAATATTTATTGACTGCACACCCATGTGCCAGGCAGAAAAATAGTAATAGAATGGTGACTACTCACCATTCACCACTTACCATGCGAATTTGTTGTCGAATGGAACCGCGGTCGTTCATTTAATAAAGGCATTACTATCTATTTTGTAAAATGGGAGGGTTGGCCTCCAATATTTAAGATTTGGGAACCGGAGTCTAACCTAAACGGGTGTGAAGAAGCCATTCCAAACATGCATCCATGAGGATGTATGTGGTGCTGAAGTTGGGATACTTCCGACTGGGACACAAACGAGCAAACGAGCACAGATGACACAAGTTATGAACCGTCTGATGGAAGCAGTATCCTGCTCAACTCTGCTCTGGACTGAAGTTGGGATACTTCCGACTGGGACACAAACGAGCAAACGAGCACAGATGACACAAGTTATGAACCGTCTGATGGAAGCAGTATCCTGCTCAACTCTGTCCGCTCTGGACTTACTGATGAAGTTCACCGATTCGCTGCAGCAATCCACTGACTCGCCTCGGCCATACAAACCACCTGGTCTATCCGACTGGGGCGACCCTCTGTGTTGTCCCGCTAAAACGGAGTGCAAGCGAATCTGATTTCACATCTGTATCCTGCAAGCGAATTCGTCTATCACAAAAGGATAAGCAAACGCTGACTTCAGCGTTCCAATTCTTTCAACAGAATTTAAACTCAGTCTGTCCTGACAAAGCTCCAATAACTGTGGAAAATAATGTTGATACTGAGTGCCCGCCAGTTAAATTCCAACCCATACCCGATTATCGTCCTTGTCCTGGCGTATTCCTTCTTACGAATTCTCCTGTGGGCTGTGAATGCACGATTCCAGCACCTTGACCTTGTAGCAATCTTCCTCCCTCTGGCACTGCAGCCAGTGGACCACTTGAACCATGTTGTGAAAACAGACAAGAAAGATGTTGCGCCGCGCGGGCAGGTGCCTGTATGCCCTACAACCGTCAAAAGCGGCTCGCTGCCTCTAGGGAACACCCAGTATATGAATGCAATTCCACGTGCCCCTGTGGTCCGTCATGGCCATTCCGCGTAGTACAACTAGGTCTCAAAGTTCCCCTGTGTGTTTTTGTGTTGAACATGACTGATGACGGGGGTGAAGTCCTCAGTCAGCGCTTGTCCGATCTGTTTGCTTGCATTTGGGAAAAGGTGTCTGTCCCAGACAACTGGGGAGAATCGGTGATAGTGCCCATTTTCAAAAAATGGGGGATCAGCTTGACCCCGGTTGTAACGAGACTGTTGGCGTCAATTTTGCTTCATTGCCTTACGGTGGCCCGTGAGATACTGACTCGAGAGCAGAAAGCGGGATTCCGGCCTGGTAGGAATTGTGTTGACCAGATCTTCACACTGCGTCAGGTGCTAGAACAACGCCATACGTATAAGCGACCCACGATTCTAGTATTCCTGGATTTCCGAGGCGCATTCGACTCGGTTGATCGGTCTGTTCTTCTTGAGACGCTTGCCCACCAAGGAATGCCCCGGAAGTTTGTAAACATAATACGTTCTTTGTATTCTCAGACTTCCGGACGTGTGAGAGCGCACGGAGAGCTCTGCAAAAGCGTCCGTACACAAAGCGGTGTCTGTCAGGGATGCCCACTCTCTCCATTCCTTTTCAACTTCGTGATCGATGAAATAATGGGAAGAACGCTGGAGACTCTCCTGGTGTTCAAATAGCCTGTGAAGAAAACCTTTTCGATTTGGATTATGCAGGCGACATCGTTCTCATTTTCGAAAAGGAGGAGAAGTTGCAAGTATTCTTGGATGAACTGGCCAACGTCATCCCGTCTTTTGGTATGCAATTCACACCTACAAAGTGTAAGGTCATGCTCGTGAACGTACAGCGAGTAAACACGCAACTTAAAATCCAGGGAGAGGTACTGGAAGTTGTGGAGCGTTTTACATATCTTGGAATTTGTATTAGTTCTGATTGAGCCGCGTTTGCTAAGTTGAGACACCTATGGCGTCAGAATGGTTTATTCCTGAATCTGAAGGGACGTGTGTATCAAGCTACAGTACGGGCCCTTTTGATGTATGGCTGTGGGACTTGGCCTAAGATGTCTTCAGGTGTTCGACAATCGTTGTTTCAGAACCATGGCTCGTGTGGGTTGGTATCGGTGAATCCGTAACGAGGCAGTTAGAAAGCGCGGTTTCGGTTGTGCGACGGGTACTTCCATCGAAGAATGTGTCCAGCACCAGAAGCTGCGTTGATTGGGACATGTGTTGCGTATGCCGAACCATCGTTTGCCGAAGAGAGTGCTGTTTTCCATACCCCACTCAGAGTGGCGTAAACAGAGAGGTGACCAACCCTTGAATTGGCAGAGTATGAAGGAGATCACGAAACTCTTGGATGCTGTCGGTGCTACTCGCCTTCCAGGATGGGGACCGGGTGATCCTCACTGTTCCTGGTTGAAGACACTACAAGATTGGGCTGCCAACCGATGTCAGTGGCGTTCTTGTTGTCATTTTCTATTCAGATCGCTTGAGTGAGTGTCTGGAGATATCGGCACCTCAAAATTATTGTGGTAAGCTAGCACTAAGTCCCTTCCCCGCCCACCTTTACTCTTTTTCTTACAACAAGGCTTTCAGATAAATCATGGTTGTACGACAGCGGAATACCAGTGTTTAACACTGATGTTTTGCTGTTCATGATGATGATAGAGATAGGTAGCGACCGAAAAGTCCGAACGGGAAGAAAATATGTAGATAGGCGGGCAAAGCGCATTACGAAGATGAATTTTGAGGAGTAAGTGTACACCGAGCATTTGAAGAACAAAAGCTGGTTTAATTGCACTATGGCGGTGTTTGTTACCCGGGTGAGGGTTAAAGGATATTTGTTCCTGGGCAATGTGATACAGTGTGTCTGAGATGTGGGAAATTTTTTATACATAGCCGGATGCCGAAGATCACAAGAGTGTCGGTTCACAAACAGATGCACTTTAGCATATCAGTTTCATAGAAAGGGGCCCGTAGTTGGTGAGACTGCTACCGTGGTTGAGGATGGGATGGTTACAAGTTATGAGGAGGAGGAGGGCGACGTAGCTGTCGATTCTGTTAAGCTACATTATATCGGTATCAGGAAGCAGAATTGGAGTGGATTTAGGTTCAAGTGCTCTAAACGAGCATATTAGATAACAATCACCCACCAACTTACTAGATCTTAGGTACGACTGCATCCATGGGTGCACGTTTGAATCTCTGTGTACAGGCGGCTATCTCATTATTGCCAGCGGGACTAATTAATCAAGTGGTAATTTCACCTTTATAGCAGTAGGACTTAGCTTCAGCTTCTGCATTTGTAAAGGACACTGAAAATCTGACCCTGAAAATCAGCTTTTTTTGAATATAGCAGCCTGCATCCTCAAAACAAACACAAATGGTTATAAACCGACCAGTTTCGCTCACATAAGAGATTCAACGTTTACACAGGAATGGACGAGTGATAGAAGTAGCTTTTCCCTTTGATCATTACAAATAAACAACACCTTCCAGTCGCAAACGGTGAATAGAAGCTAATTTTCCTGCATCAAAACACTCAAACGTCCACATCTTTATCTCCGCCTGATAACACTTCGGTGAACAAGTCTAAATATAATAAGACTGACAAGAGAAAAAGGAGCAACCCATTATTTGCGGTTTGCAATGCAAAAAAATTAAAAATTAAATGAGCCTTAAAATGAACAATTCTAATTGATAAAATACAGGGCTGAAGTAAAGAAACGAGAGTATTAAAGGCAAACAGCGAGAACGGTATTCTTAATATGGTCTTAATAGCAGGTCAAATCCTCCAACACAGACCGTCGCCTTAAGGAGTCTAATTAAGCAGTTGGACGCTTGGTGACAAATATTCTGCCAAAGTTAGCGTTTCCAGTTCCGGTTGTTTTTGTCTCCAGGCTGGGTACGTTTGGTAGGATAGATAGTTTTGGCATGGTCGACCTGTCGTCAGTGAAGATGGGTTAATTTTTTGCGTCAGTCCTTCTAAGGGAGCTATCGGATGTGTGAATACCAACTGATGAACTGGCCTCAATGCCCTTCAGCACTTTGGTGCCGCCCTCAACGTTGGGGCTTTGAGCCTGAATATGCAGCTAAGGTAAGGCACAAAAATGCATTTTGGGAAAACCCAGATACCCAACTCGGCTGTAAGATAACTGCATGATTCAAAAAACGCGTTTGGGTATCCACCTTGCCGAGCCCCTCCTGACGCCGAGTAGAAAGTGTGCAGTCGATTTTGATTACAATTCCATGGTTTTTGAATAAAATGCTCTCAGCATAGACACGCAATTAGTTGACTAGCCAAAGAGGTCATGGAGACTTAGGTATCATCTGCAAAAGTTTGCTTTCACCTGAAAAAACCCAAGCAGCAGCCAAGGCCCGAAGGTTCACGAGATCTTGCAGTGTATGCCCGCACTAATACTTGCAAAACAGTGGGAAATGACTGTAGCTCCGAAAGTTTTGTTTGCTTTCCTTTTACATGTTCACATAGATTGTTACAAAAGTGGATCAAGCGCTTAGCAAACCCAAGTTGGTGACCTTGTTCAAAACTGAGGAGAACCACAAGGGCTTTCTGTATTCAAACTGGTAATGCAACGGCAAGTGACAGTTCGAATTCCTTAATCGCGCCCCGTGTTTTGCTTGCTGCTGTTAGCTTGCTGGAACCAGCGTTTTCATCGTGACGGGAAGAAATCGTGGAGAATGCTACTCACCGAAACAAACCGAATGAATTTTTTCAACCAATACACAATTTTCACTTGTTTCTTTTCCCTCCATTTGGTTTTTGGACGAGGACCACGGTACGTAATCGCAATAAGCGGCTAGCTCACTGGCCCACATAATGCACAAACTTCCTACATTTGGCAAAAAATCATCTTTCGCGTAGTGGATTATACAAAAACAGTTAGAGCCTCGGCAAGAATGATCGTATAACACGAACTGAAGGCGCGATGAAGCCAAAATACTGGACCTTACCGTCTTGAAAATGTATCTTCCAGCATGGCGACGCCAGTTTGCCTGAATTTAGGTAGGATAACAAACAAAATACTGTGTGTGAATGTAGATTTTATAGATAGTTACCGGTGCTATGCGCCTAAGAGCCAGCAAAATCCCGACGAACATTAGCCAACCAGCCAGAATTTGGTCAATATTTCCAGCCAAACAAATTAAAACGGAGGAATTAGGAGCCATCCCTATCGTGTTATTTGGCACTCTTGTAGTAGTGATCGCTTGCAAACAATAAACGTGGGCTTTCATCGGAATAATTAGGTAAATAACTTTTGTCCATTGCTTTGTCACGTGAATCGTTATTCTAGGCACACAATGCGTTTAGTGGAATTTCGGCTTCACCAGATTCCTCCTAGGGGCGAGTGCTGTGATAAAAATTGCAGAAATATTTAAGGCCGTTACGATTTGACTTTTGCTTCCTACTGTGTGGGATGCAATCTTAGGCATAACGGTAGAACTGGGACTAACACTAAAACATTGCACAAATCTCTCGCTCGGAAAAAACCGAGGTGGGCAAATAGCAAACGTCAATGGAGTATACTTTACTCAAACGTTCAATACTCTGCATAATGGTGTT